GTGATGATGTTATTCCTTTTATGTGATGATGTTATTCCTTAAATGTGATGATGTTATTCCTTAAATGTGATGATGTTATTCCTTTTATGTGATAATGTTATTCCTTTTATGTGATGATGTTATTCCTTTTATGTGATGATGTTATTCCATTTATGTGATGATGTTATTCCTTTTATGTGATGATGTTATTCCTTATATGTGATGATGATATTCCTTTTATGTGATGATGTTATTCCTTAAATGTGATGATGTTATTCCATTTATGTGATGATGTTATTCCTTTTACGTGATGATGTTATTCCTTTTATGTGATGATGGTATTCCTTTTATGTGATGATGTTATTCCTTATATGTGATGATGTTATAAACAAGAACCCTTAAAATTAGAGGCATCTGCCTAGTTGGGACTTTCTGTTCTACTGACTTTTACACAAGTGTGTTCATTTGGTAGTTCTGAATATTTCTTCACTTTACAACTAAGCGTATATACGAGTGAGTGATTTTGTTTGTTTATTGTTTAACGCCGCACCCATCAATTGTCCAGCTATATCATGGCGGTCTGTAAATAATCGAGTCTAAACCAGACAACCCAGTGATTGACACCATGAGCATCGATCTACGCTATTGGGATACGATGACATGCATCAACTAAATCAGCGAGCTTGACTTCTCGACCCCGTTAGATGCCTCTTACGACAAGCATAGCCGCCTTTTACGGTAAGAATTGGTTGCTGAAGATCTATTCTACCCCGGATACGAGTGAGTGAGAATAACAAGTTTTACAAATGATAGATTTCGGAAAACACTTTCTTAGTAAAGTAAAATAACATTGATCACAAAGGGAGTGAGTGAGTTGATTTCGGATTAACGCCGTTTGACGAATGAGGTACACCCGACGTGTTTCAGGTATCAGAGCTTAACCCGGTTAACCTGGTTCGATTCCACAATAACACAATTTCTGAACCACATTTTTTGTGTCTTGTGACTTGACTGGACCATTTCTGAAGTTGTGCAAAATCACACGCACCCACTCACCCCACTTAAGAAAAACTGGGCGTTGCTCAGTAGCAAGTGTTGTTTTAAATAATAATCATTCAGAGCACCATTCATACTTCGTTACAACCGTAGATCGTTTATAAACATACGTATGGCATATATACAGCAAATAAAAAGCAAATGGACGGGATCAAAACACATTTCGTTATATCTGTCAGTTCGTTATAAGCGTGTTCGTTATAAACGTAGTTGACTGAATATGGTTCCCTACTTTGTCAAAGATGATTAGTTGGGACATGAATGAACCCACTGTCATGAGTTTCTAGCAAGCAAAGGGCAGATTGCGGCGCTCTAGACGACCTGGACAACTGGTGCCCCCTGAACATAAATATTTTATAAACAACAGGTTGTTGCATTTGCAATGGATGATCAGATTTAATGTTTGTGATAAATCCAGTCCAGGACTTAAAATGTCAAACACCATAGATATTTAGATACTTGTAATTCGTGCTACCTCCGTGACGATTCCGGTTAGAATTGATCTTCAGCAAGCCATGATTGTCGTAAAAGGCGACCAACCGTCGGGTTGTCAGGCTCGCTGACGTGTTTGACGCACGCCATCGTATCCCGATTGCATCGATCGATGCTCACGATGTCCATTATTGCATTGTCTGGACCAGACTTGATTATTTACGGACCGCTGCCATTTGGCTGGAATATTGTTGACTATGGCATTACACAACAAACAAACAAACAAACAAACAAACAAACAAACACAGATCAAGTCCCCGGGAACCTATTCTCGATGCATCATGAGGGTTTAATTGTATCCTCATTTAACAAGTGAAACAAGATGTGTCATAAAAAGAAATGACCCAGACGTTTAAACGATTTTTTTCCCCAAACGTGGATAGTATCTATTATTTTACACCTCTTAATAATGTCTCCGCCGATCCCCCCCCCCCCCCCCCCCCCCCATCCCACCCCCCCCCACCCACCACCCACCCTCGCCCCCCGGGCTTCACACCTGTACCCAAAGGTGGAAATAGTCCTTTGCATGTGTTTGTGACGTGTGACGAGAAGCTAAAAATACAGCAATAAAATGATAGCCATTAAAATTCAAGAGCCCAAAATCCTCGAACAATAACACCGCTGCATGTGTTAGTCCTCTTTACATGATAATTTTGCATTTTATTGATGTAACGTGCTGCGTTATTTGGTGAGGATATGAAGAATGAGACTAAGAAGATTTTTATTAAAGTGCCACGCATTGTACAGTATAAACATTGCTACTAGTTCGGGTAGATGTGTACACTGCCCATCCAGTGTGACCTTTCGACACTAAAGTCATTAAAATGCACAACACAGTTAGAGATTAAAAGAAAACACTATAAATGAGGAAAAAAAGAAGTGACATCAATATGGGCACGCCCAATCCCCCAACCCCATGTCTGCATGTCTTCCTGTGTATACATACTCATACTTCTGCAAACAATTCTTCCAAACAAATCTACATACACAACACACAACACAACACAACACAACACAACACAACACAACACAACACAACACAACACACACACACACACACACACACACACACACACACACACACATCGTGTTCATCTTTCCACACCATATCCCTACACCTATCTCACTATATCCCCACGCACGCTCGCACACACACACGACGTATTTATCTTTCCCCACTATATCCCTACAACTATCTCACTATATCACCACGCACGCACGCACGCACGCGCACGCACGCGCGGGCACACACACACACACACACACACACACACACACACACACACACACACACACACACACACACACACACACACACACACACACACACACACACACACACACTCACTCACTCACTCACTCACTCACTCACTCACACACTCACTCACACACACTCACACATATCGTATTCATCTTTCCCCACTATATCCCTACAACTATCTCACTATATCACCACGCACGCACGCACACACGCTCGCGCGCACACACACACACACACACACACACACACACACACACACACACACACACACACACACACACACACACACACACACTCACTCACTCACTCACTCACTCACTCACTCACTCACTCACTCACTCACTCACACACTCACTCACACACACTCACACATATCGTATTCATCTTTCCCCACAATATCCCTACAACTATCTCACTATGTCTACGCAAGCCCTCTTGGATCCATGCGCATGCTAACATTCATACATTTGCAATGTGGAAAAACCTAGCCACCCTTTCCTCACCCCACGAGGAAGCCGCTGGCATTCATGGTACATTTAACTTGTACTCACAAACAGGATGTTGACGTGTTCACTGAAGCATTGCATCCAAGCTCTTGGCAATGTGTTTTACCTGGTTTGATGAAAATAAGCTTATGGCTACTGACCCTCATGTGTGTATGAAAATCATTCAAAATTATTCTTATTTACAAAATGTTTATTTAATTGATATTAAGCTGCAAATCGTGTTCTTACCGAACAGGTTTACATTTACAACAATAAGTGATGATCCTTTCCGTGTACTCGCCTTCCCACAAACACAGATGTGGACAAACCGACCTTTCTGTTCAGTGCAGGGACAATTTTAAAACATGTGAGTGAGTGAGTGAGTATGGTTTTACGCCGCTTTTAGCAATATTCCAGCAATATCACGGCGGGGGACACCAGGAATGGGCTTCACACATTGTACCCATGTCGGGAATCGAACCCGGGTCTTCGGCGTGACGAGCGAACGCTTTAACCACAAGGCTACCCCACCGCCCCATTTTAAACATGGAAAGAATGATCGTGTCAGTGAATTTGACTTTAGACCGCTCTGAAATAAGTTCAATAAGATAACGGTGCGTAAGATTAACGTGCTGCCACGCCAATTGTGTCAAAACCGCGAACAGCGGATCCTGGAATGACTGTGGGGCGTAACTCTGCACAGTGAATTGCTGCGTCATAGGAGATCGGGTAATGAAACAGTTATTCTAATTAAGCACAAGAGCTTAATAATAACTGACGAGTAATGATACTAGGGGAATGTCCAAATGATCCTGATGATGAGAAGTGCCATGTCACTATTTCGACCTAAATTAACTCGATGTATCTTTTAAAACGATGACACGTTCTGGTACCGACAGATCTAATATGGCCGTATCGCTTGTCTCAACTCGGTATAACGGCGTGTGTCAATGTCCCTTGAACGTCGAGTTATTGTGTTTCCCCCTTATCAGTGCTACAGTGTATAAAGAGTGAGTGAGTGAGTTTGGTTTAACAGTATCCCAGTTCATCAGCAAGTGTGTGAAGCAAGCCCGAAGTGATGCAGGTCTGAGACGTTTACCACGTTGGTAAAACCCACGAGTACGGGTCTGGTGCGGACAAACCTGGAAACATAATTGGAGCGAACCGGGATTCGAACTCAATATATATAAAACAATCCCATGTATCCTAAATAAGTGTTTCCTGGTCTCACCAGCGGTAACTAATTTTGTAAGGTTCACAGATTCATAGGAAAATAAACAATTAACGTCGGATTCATTAAAACAGGATCGTCACATTTAAGCCATTTTGTGAAATGTCGAAATATGCTTTCGTTTAGCAAAGATCGCAATTACTGATTCAATTTAGAAAAACATAAAACATTCCGTAAATATTTCAGGAATTTGTCAAGTTTTCATTTGTACCGACAAGAGACGCAGTAACCTAACCACGACAATTTGGCAGTAATTGCAACGACAAACAGTAAACAAATATTACCCCAGCAATGAATCAGACACTGGCCTCGTTTGCTAGTCACCCATGACTAGTCATAGCATTCAGCCGACCTTCACTTCCGTGTGACCCACAACAGCGATTGTTATCAGCCATTTTGATTGGTCGATTTGATGAACAGGATATGTGCGAAGTGTTTTCCAATCCGGAATCTCGTTTTCTTTGAGTGGATTGGCTACCCCTTCACAGATCCGTGTATGATAACATATATAATCTCCGGGGAGCTGTGGAGGGACACACTTGCACGGAACGGAAGACCACAGGCAAAGATGCTGCTTGCCACGGGAATCACGATTCTTTTCTTCGTACATGTAGCTTGCCGGCCTCAAGGCCAAGAAGATGTAAGTATCACCAGCTTAACAGATAAACTGTATGTGATGTTTCAGTTAACGCATATAATAACTGTATGTGATGTTTCAGTTAACACATATAATATCTGTATGTGATGTTTCAGTTAACGCATATAATAACTGTATGTGATGTTTCAGTTAACGAACATAACTGTATGTGATGTTTCAGTTAACGTATATAATAACTGTATGTGATGTTTCAGTTAACGCATATAATATCTGTATGTGATGTTTCAGTTAACGCATATAATAACTGTATGTGATGTTTCAGTTAACGAACATAACTGTATGTGATGTTTCAGTTAACGCATATAATAACTGTATGTGGTGTTTCAGTTAACGCGCATAAAACTGTATGTGATGTTTCAGTTAACGCATATAATAACTGTATGTGGTGTTTCAGTTAACGCGCATAAAACTGTATGTGATGTTTCAGTTAACGCATATAATAACTGTATGTGATGTTTCAGTTAACGCATATAATAACTGTATGTGGTGTTTCAGTAAACGCATATAATAACTGTATGTGATGTTTCAGTTAACGCATATAATATCTGTATGTGATGTTTCAGTTAACGCATATAATAACTGTATGTGGTGTTTCAGTTAACGCGCATAAAACTGTATGTGATATTTCAGTAAACGCATATAAAAACTGTATGTGATGTTTCAGTTAACGCATATAACTGTATGTGATGTTTCAGTAAACGCATATAATAACTATATGTGATGTTTCAGTTAACGCATATAATAACTGTATGTGATGTTTCAGTTAACGCATATAATAACTGTATGTGGTGTTTCAGTTAACGCGCATAAAACTGTATGTGGTGTTTCAGTAAACGCATATAATAACTGTATGTCATGTTTCAGTTAACGCATATAATATCTGTAACCAGACATCAAGGGGACGAAATTGTTCTGCACATTTGCAACCTTGTTAGGACCTGGTGGTCGTTCATATTATAGATTTGCCCCATCAATGTAAGCACAATACCCATTGCTCGTGGGTTCCTCAAAGATTTAAACGTCTGAATCACTAGAGTTTTTCTCCACATTACACGGCGCTCAAATTCACACTATCTCTCTAGACTCACAAAACATCTCTTTCCTTGCCATATTATCACGAGTTCACTGTTGGTAGGACCATTTTGCAAATAAATCCCAGTTTTTATCGATGATGCACGGCAATGGAAGCGTGCAATGATGACTGTTTGAGGTAAATGTGACGTGTTTTCTTTCACAGGAAGGCACATTTAAATGGCAAAGGAACATTGACCCTGTAGCACCCTTTCGCGTACGGGAGAGTGCACGTGTCTTGAGTGAAGGGGTCATTCTGATGTCGTCAGAGAGTCCTGCCCTGCACAAGAAACAGTATCACAGATCACAAAGTCTTCATGATTTCAAAGCAGTGAGTATTAATAATCTAATGTACCGTTCTTCTTAAAACATTTTAGAAATAAACGACGAGTGGGAGTCTATCGTGCAATAAAACACTGCAAGAAGTATAAACCACGAGAGTCGTTTATTTCTTATATGAGACATCAACATTATAAACAGCCTCTTTAAGGATGATGATAAAATGTAAAAGCTTTAAAAATAGTCACCCGAATATTTACACCTATGGGGAACAACTCACTAGACATTCCCCTCTCAAAAATAACGTCGTCTAGTATACGACGTCATTGAGTTGCGAGCGAGTGTTCAAATCTACAGAAATAAGGTCATGATAGAACAATGGTTTATAGTGTTATAAACTACGCTTCGTTTTTCATTGGTCTTTGTGATTTATCGCGTAACTATCTTACACAGAATATTAAACGATCTTCCCAAACATATATTAGTTAAAGTCCTCAGTGGAATAAGTTTTACATGTCCCGAGTTTAAGTGAGTGAGTGAGTAAGTTGGGTTTAACGACGCTTTTAAAAGTATTCCAGTTATATCACGGCGTGTCAGCTTAATGTGGGAGGAAAGCCCGAATCGCGGTGCCTTAGACGAATGGGCCACCCGTACCCTCCCGAGTTTAAGCAAGGGAAAGTGTTCACAAAGTCTTGTTTAACACCAAATATATTGTTTTATATCGTATTTATTACCAACGGATGCTTGTAAATAATTTATCAACAAAGTAACGCCATGTCTGTGTGTCCTTACAATGAAATCAAAACACGTAACATGAGCAGGATGTCGACATGGAGCCGTATTAATTCCGACATGTATTGTCATACCATCCCAACTTAGAGATTGTTGAATTATCTGTGGAATTAAACCAAATGACGCCTTCAATTTAATATACCTTTCTCACATCGCTGAAACATAACACGTTTAGAAGACTGCTATAGACACAAGCCTACGACAGGATTGTGTTCACAGAGTGTGTTGCATGAAAGGTCGTAAAAAGGAGTGAGTGAGAGAGTATGATTATAAATTCGTAAAATAATTACAAAAATTAAAGTTAATTGTACAGTCAGCTTATCACGGATTCGATTCCCCACATGGGTTCAGTGTTTGAAGCCAATTTCTTTGATCCCCCAAGAATGTTGTTGGATATTGCTAAAACCGGCGTAAAACCATACTCACACAGTCACTTTCTTGTAGCAACAGCTAAAGGCAGATAATATTATATCTGTGTGTTGACTGAACCCTCTCATTCCCAGACAATACAGTAGTTTAGAACACGTTTAGTACAGCCCAAACCACGACGAGGTAGAATAGCTTCCCTTTATAGTCAACGGAAAATGTCATATTTGAAGATACGGAATACTTTGAAATTTCCATATAAAAATTGGTCAACTAGTTCAAATCACTGAAAGCTGGTCGTTTATATATTTAACGCTTGCGGGTTTATGATTCTTGACATGATCACGTACAGACGTGCTAATAGCTAAGCAGGTCCGTGACCCAAGATGAATTGATCAACCCTTGCTTCTAGTGTTTTTAATTTTTAAACCAGCATTGCACCAAAACAACCAAGCCTGTTTCTTATTCATTTGAGTGAGTAAGTGAGTGAGTTGGGTTTAACGCACGGCTTTGGTTCTGACAAACCTAGACACATAATCGGGGCGAGCCACAATCATAGGTGTCATAGTGCCCAAGGGACGCAACTCTGCACATTAACATGCTTCCCTTTTACCTAGTAGTTAGTGTCAACATTCTCCGTAAGGGATCCGACCCGTGAAGATCCGGGTTAGAATAGGTCTTCAGCAACCCATACTTGCCGTAAAAGGCGACTATGCTTGTTGTAAAAGGCGACTAACGGGATCGGGTGGTCAAGCTCGCTGACTTGGTTGATATATGTCATCGATACCAATTACATGGATCGATGCTCATGATATCAATCACTGGATTGTCTGGTCCAGACTCGATTATTAACAGACCGCCGTCATATAGTTGGAATATAGCTGAGTGCGGCGTTAAACAACAAACAAACAAACACAAACAAAAGACCCTTATCGTACCTTGTCCTTTCAATGGCATTATCGCACGAAGGTTGTCGGGCTGTCCCCAGCAACTGACACACGAGCACCGTCAGAAAACGTTTGTTGATGGTCGACGTCCTGTTTGTTCCAGCGTCTGTGCTACATGTTTTATGTTCCCTCTCAAAACATTTTTTTTTCAATTTAATTTAATTTTCAGGGGATCCTTGCAATCAAACACTTGGATTCACGAGATGGCAGAGGTATTTGCTTCTTGACGAAACCTGCAAAGTCTTTCGATGACACAGTGAAAGATCTTCAGGAGAGAACCCGTCAGGTATACCTTTGTGACACTGTGTAACATAAGAAACACTTCAGCCCTTTGTAAATTAAATATTATATGTAAAGCGTAAAACCACAACAGATTATTAGTACTAATTATAGCTGAGGTGAGGTGAGGTGAAATTGGGTTTAACGTCGCGTCCAAGATTATTGCACTTATATAGCGACGTGCATGCACGTGTATGTGTGTGGCTGCTTGTACTAGTCCGGACTGATGCCGATTTATAGTGCTAGCTCACTGAGATACCATGCCGCAGTTTAACATGAATACCCCACTCAGACACAGTATACTGACTCCGAGCCGACCAGTCCTTGTTTTAGCCCCTTAATGCCGAGCGCCAGACAGGGTAACAACAAGTACAATCTTTTAACGTCTTTTTGTATGACGCGGCCCGGGATCGAACCCTGGATCTTCCGCTCTCCGGGCGGACGCTCTACCACAAGACCACGGAGGCGGTCAGTACTAATTATACATGCCGCGGGTAGCTATTGATTGCTAAGATATATTTACAAGACTCGCGAACACCTGGTGTCACCTATGTGATGTTGAGTGAGTGAGTGAGTTAGGTTTAACGCCGCTATTAACACTATCCCAGTTATATCACGGCGTGCCAGCTAAGTGTTGGGAGGAAAGCCCGAAATGATGCAGGTCTCGGACGTTTACCTCTTTGGTGAAACCCACGAGCACGGGAATGGTGCTGACAAACCTAGAAACATAATTGGGGCGAACCGGGATTCGAACCCACAATCATAGCTTTCAGGCGTGCCCAAGGGACGCAACTCTGCACAGCGAATCGCGGCGACTTAGGCCACCCGTGCCCACATTTGATGGTGATGTACAAACACCCCCGAGTGATACTGCTACAACATCGTGTGCCGTTGACGTTATATATTCAAAATTATTTTGATGATACACAATAGTCCAAATATATTTGACATTGGCTGATATACATTTTGTAATTTCTGAAAAAAGAACATTTATTCTTTAGTTTTATTTCCGCCCAATTAAATTGTTAGCCCTTTTAGTCATATGTTTCTTAAACCAACATGGAAACACCTGTCCTCACATTTGCCTGTTTTGATAGAATTAGTGAGTTGGGTGTGAAGGGTTGGCTGCGAAAAGTTGTACAGTCCTGTCATACGTGGGGGAAGTAGACATGCGCAACCCCTGGCAATATGAATATGGAGTAGGATTGGTCTTCTGTAACAAATGCCGTGAAGATCCGGGGTAGAATATGTCTTCAGCAACCCATGCTTGTCGTAAAAGGCGACTAACTGGATCGGGTGGTCAGGGTAGCTGACTTGGTTGATGCATGTCATCGATCCCAATTGCGTGGATCGATGCTCATGGTATCAATCACTGGATTGTCTGTTCCAGACTCGATTATTTACAGGCTGCCGTCATATAGCTGGAATATTGCTGAGTGCGGCGTAAAATAACAAACAAACAAACAAACAAAACATATGTAGATCGTGTGCTCACAGATGAAATGATACTAATATGTTCAACGGTAGTCGGCAAGCCGCTTTGCATACTGAGTTCCGACTGAACACCACACTCGTGCGCCTATCCATCCACCCACCCATCCATCCACCCATCTATCCACCCATCTAAGGGACCGACCATTTCAAATGTGTAGGGTAAAGCACGTCCGACGGTTTTAATGATATTTAAAAGCCGCATCCGCGTGATAGGTTTTATCCCAAGGTTAAAAGTTTTCAATGTCTCAAAATCCCGAAGGGGAAGTCTATTATCTTACTTATAAACCGAAAAAAACAAACTTAAAACAACAGTTATCAACATGTTTCTGTTTCTAACACACTTTCCATGAACCTTGGGAAACGGGCGTAAAATATCTGTTGCGCGCACGGTACTTGAAAAAAGACTTCTTGAAAGCATTGTGATTTATTTGCGCCTCTATCGCCAAGTGACAAAAATGATTATGCTTCAAACTGTTAAAAACACAAAAAGCCACAAAAAAATCCTTTCTGCTCAATGATTTAAAAAACATAAAATACATCACTGCAAAATGTTTTTTTCCAAAAAATATTTAGGCTCAGAGTTTCAATCGAGAAAAAAGTATCTTGTTTTGCAGCGGCATCTGAAAAAAAATAAGTCTCCATATAAAATGCCAGGCCTCCTCTGGAATATCAAATGACGGTCCCTAAGTGATAGTTATGTTTAAATTGACTGAGACAACTATGTCCTTAATTATAAGATTTGTTTCAGGGTGAGGTCGATCTTGACGAAGCAGAACATTTCTACAAACTGTCCTCTAAGAAGCCAGCTTCATCTACTGGCAGCAAGTTCGTGAATGAATTTTGCAGTGGTGCTCCTATGTACCGTGTTGAGGATTTTGGTGAGTCCAAGTAGAAGTGTTTCATTGTTGAACAATGAGAGTTACTTTAAAATGCTTCCCTTTTACCTAGCAGTTAGCGTCAACATTCTCCGTAAGGGGTCCGACCCGTGAAGATCCGGGTTAGAATAGGTCTTCAGCAACTCATGCTTGCCGTAAAAGGCGACCATGCTTGTCGTAAAAGGCGACTAACGGGATCGGGTGGTCAGGCTCGCTGACTTGGTTGATACATGTCATCGATACCAATTGCGTGTATCGATGCTCATAATATCAATCACTGGATTGTCTGGTCCAGGCTCGATTATTTACAGACCGCCGTCATATAGCTTGAATATTGCTGAGTGCGGCGGTAAACAACAAACCAACCAACCCAACCGTAGGGGGTCCGGGCCTATTCCCCCAGCATATTGCCCCTTGACAACAACCCCCCCCCCCCCCCCCCCCCCCCCCTCCATTCCCCACCGGTCAAATCCCCACTATGTGCCGCCCCCAGGAAATTGAACTTTTGTTAAATTTGAATATGTCTATTTAACTTACACTCATTCCCGCAAGTGTTTGTTAAAAAGTAATTTGTGGCTGTGGATGTTTATAAAAATAAATTGGTTCAATAAAGACTGAGGTGAAAAATGAATCTGAATCCACGTGCTTGTATTGTAAATCTGTGCTTAAAAAGTTTTGAACCTTATTAAAAAATAAATAAATATTTGTACCATGCAGAAGTATTCTGCGGGTGCTGATAAAGCGCCAGAACAGTTCTTATGCTAGATATAATAACATTGGATATTTGTTATTGAAAATAAACATGATAAAACCAATTGAGAAATATAGTTTCTTTCGCTCATCAGTTTATGTCTTAGTCCTCTTGTCACATTGGTTAGTTGGTGTGTTGTTTAACGCCGCACTCAGCAATATTCCAGCTATATGACGGCGGTCTGTAAATAATCAAGTCTGGACCAGACAATCCAGTGATTGACATCATTAACATCGATGGCAGGCATCAACCAAGTCAGCGAGCCTGACCAACCGATCCCGTTGGTCGCCTCTTACGCCAAGCATGGGTTGCTGAAGACCTATTCTACCCCGGATCTTCACGGGTCTATTGACACATGCCCCTAATGATATGTATATTTATTAGTGTATGTTTCATTATTGTATTTCGTTGCAGCTCGCTCCTTCCCACCGGATTATCCTTGGATTATCCGAACCCTCTGTATCTACTGGCCTCTTCGCTTCTGGTGGCCACTTGATATACCCGGAGACTTTTACCCGACCTTCGATCTTGAGGGGTAGCATGGCAGGAGAAGCGTTCGCTCATCACGCCGAATATCTGGGTTCGACCCAATGTGTGAAACCCATTCTTGTGACCTCCGCCTGACTTCCAGGCGACGTTGTTGTTTGTTTGTTGTTTAACTCCGCACTCAGCAGTATTCCAGCTTTATGACGGCGGTCTGTAAATAATCGATTCTGGAACAGATCCAGTGATTGACATCATGAGCATCGATTCACGCCATTGGGATACGATGACATGCATCAACCAAGTCAGCGAGCCTGACCACCCGATCCCGTTAGTTGCCTCTTACGACGAGCATAGTCGCATGGGTTGCTGAAGACCTATTCTCTAACCGGATCTTCACGGAGAGACAACGTTGCGTAAAGGCGATGCTAGACTATACTTACTTACTTACTGGACCCGTGAATATCCGGGGTAGAATACCCATGCTTGCCGTAAAAGGGGACTTTGTAGAGGATAAATACCATGTTTTTTTTAATGTAAGATATATATTCGCTTGAGAAATACTTTTTTACCTCATTACGGAAATATCATAAATGTAATATTATTTTTGCAATTTATTTAAATCATGAGATATTAATGTAGTACGCTTGATAGCTTTATATTTATGTAAACTATATACAATCAGATCGACAGAAATGTAACACTCTGGACATGTACTGTAGGCCATGTGGCCTGAATTACGAAATGAACTTGATCGATTGATTGATTGAAGTACAGTAAACTACGGTTATAACGAACACGCTTATAACGAACTGACGGATATAACGAACTTATTTTTAGCCCCGACAATTTGTTGTTTATATGCTGTATACATGCTTATAACGAACTACGGTTATAACGAACTAAAATTAGTGGTCCCTTTGAGTTCGTTATAACCGTAGTTTACTGTTCTTGTGTAGAGTGATTATGAACATATATTATGTCATGTTCTGAATCACCGTTGTCATGAAGCAGTGCTATTTGATTGGGTGACACAATCGACAAAGGCGCCGCAATTCGCTGTGCAGAGTTGCGTCCCCTGGGCACGCCAGAAACCTATGTTCGTGGGGTCGAATCCCGGTTCACCACGATTATGTTGCTAGGTTTGTCAGCCCCATATCCTTGCGCGTCTAAAATCTGCATCACTTCGGGCATTACATCAAGGTGATATAACTGCAATACTGATCTAAGCGGCGCCAAACCCAACTCGCTAACGTTACGCTCTGGTTCCCAAAGCAGGTTTGTGAACCTATTTTTAAATTCATTTGCTGAGTCGTCATGTTTTTGATTAATTAAACGCAACAGTTTACATTTTGATGAATGTGAGATAATCGTTTGAGCGTGTGTGTATGTATATGTATATATTTGATTCGAGACAATATAATAAAACGTATTTTTGACGATATCATGTCGGTGTTTTTGCTGTCATTTTTTCATCGTTGGGGCCCAGCCGTCTAGGATGCTGAAACTCGCCGGGCAGAGTTGCGCCCCTTTAGGTATGCCAGGAACTCAGTATCGTGGACCCCGGTCTGCCTTGATTGTCTCTAGGTTTAGCACCATACCCGTGCTCGTAGGTTTCACCAAATTGGAAAGCGCTCGCTGACTTGGTTGATGCATGTCATCGATCCCAATTGCGTGGATCGATGCTCATGTTGTCAATCACTGGATAATCTTGTCCAGGCTCGATTTCTTACAGACCGCCGTCATATAGCTGGATTATTGCTGAGTGCAGCGTTAACCAACTGAGCCACGGGGATATCATGACTTAGTATTGTCTATGCTGCCCGTCAAAGTAGAAACAATTTGCAACACAAAAATCCAAAAATACTCCTACACGTCATCTTTAATGACGTGAAATGCCCCGTCATATGCGAGAACTTTAGTTTCTATTCAATCTTTCTGCCACGCCTAATTAAACAATGGTGTCGTCGGCACGTCACAAACATTTATTCATAATATCGTCCACAGTGGCTGAAAAGAAGGCCTTTGTTTGTTTGTTGTTTTAGGCCGCACTCAGCAATATTCCAGTTATATCACGGCTTGATAAGAAGGCTCCTGCACTGACACGTCATAGTGATAAAAAATAAATTAATTTGTCACCATCAAAAATAATATTGTGGATTGTTTTTAAATACCATCGTGGAACCAACCACTGTCATTTGTCCTCGTGTTCAATGTAAGATGCAATGATTTAAAGCTCACCTGTGGGATTGGGGGCTTCGTCGACCACGTAGTCAAGAGAGTAAAATGATTGTCAGTACCCTGATGTATGTCCCTTTTCTTCCAACAACAACCCCACGCAATTGGGATACGATGACATGCCTCAGCGAGCCTGACCACAGGATCCCGTTAGTCGCCATTTACGGCAAGCATGGGTTACTGAAGACCTATCCTATAATAGTGTGTTAAGCCCCACAACTAACTAAAAAAGAACCAAAGTTTATGTCATTCAAAATAAATTGCAAGTGATTATATACCATTTAAGCAAACCAAGCTGTCTGAGGGGGAGAATGTTTACTTTTGAATAACGAAAAGGTCACAGCAATAGATGAACAACAAGAACATTTATGAGAAGAATGCACACATTCAATGAGATGTGGTAACATAACCAGTACAATTTGCTGTTAACTCTTGCGCAACCTTGCTCGTGTGCAATGTCATGGGACAGCTCAATCATGGATAATTTGATAGAGTCACAACCAACCATGAGAACATTTTACAGCGCCATCGCATCATCGAATTAGTGCTCAAACGCCACATCATAAAGGCTACCTGTGAACATCCGGGGTAGAAAAGGTCTTCAGCAACCGATGCGTGCCGTAAAAGGCGACTAACGGGATCGGAAGGTCAGGCTCCCTGACTTAGTTGCTGTATGTCATCGATCCCAATTGGATCGTGGATCGATGCTCATGATGTCAATCACTGGATTGTCTGGTCCAGACTCGATTATTTACATACCATATGGTTGGAATATTGCTGAGTGCGGCGTTAAACAACAAACCAACCAAACAAATACATTGGGAACAGAAAATAACTGAGTAATGGCCATAAGAAGTTTTAGCTTTCGATATGCCCAATGTACCGAATACCCGTGAAGATCCGGGGTGGAATAGGTCTTCAGCAACCCATGCTTGCCGTAAAAGGTGAGTATGCTAGTCGTAAAAGGCGACTAACGGGATCGGGTGGTCAGGCTCGCTGACTTGGTTTGATGCATGTCATTGATCCCAATTGCGTGGATCGATGCTCATGATATCGATCACTGGATTGTCTGGTCCAGACTCGATTATTTACATACCATATGGTTGGAATATTGCTGAGTGCGGCGTTAAACAACCAACCAACCAAACAAATACATTGGGAACAGAAAATAACTGAGTTATGGCCATAAGAAGTTTTAGCTTTCGATATGCCCAATGTACCGAATACCCGTGAAGATCCGGGGTGGAATAGGTCTTCAGCAACCCATGCTTGCCGTAAAAGGTGAGTATGCTAGTCGTAAAAGGCGACTAACGGGATCGGGTGGTCAGGCTCGCTGACTTGGTTTGATGCATGTCATTGATCCCAATTGCGTGGATCGATGCTCATGATATCGATCACTGGATTGTCTGGTCCAAACTTGATTATTTACAGATCGCCGTCATATAGCTGGAATATTGCTGAGTGCGGCGTTAAACTACAAACCAACCAACCAATCTTTTATTTGCAGGTGATGTATCTGGAGTATCTGACACGGCCATTCAATTACAAAGGAGAATCAATGTACTTAAAGATGTTTGTGTTAGTACTGGTATGAGAATAAATCTGAGTCAGACAAGACGAATAATGGTATTGCATGAAGGTGGTCGACTCCGCTCATATGAAAAATGGTGTTATAAGGACAAAACATTGCTCCTACACTCTCATGGTCTAAGGCACAATGCAGTTTTACTGCACAAGCAAACAAGGCATGCATGTCCTTATACCATATCAACATAAATTTGGAAAGATTTCATGAACTGATGTACTTAAAGTGTTTGATGCTATGGTTGCACAAATATACGGAAGCCTTTTAGGGCCATTTGTTTTTTTAATTTTTTTCGATAGTATCTTGAAATTTCAAGATACTAAGTTGAAATTTCAAGATATTAAGTTGAAATTTCAAGATACTATGTTGAAATTTCAAGATACTATCTTGAAATTTCAAGATAATAAGTTGAAATTTCAAGATACTATCTTGAAATTTCAAGATAATAAGTTGAATTTTCAAGATAATAAGTTAACATCCCAAGATGTAAAAATACGTTTGAAGTGAATAATCTTGAAATATCAAGATCATCTGTTGGTTGTTATAATTATATAAAGCTGTGGGTCAGCATTTGGGGATTGTCTTTTTGATAGGAAGGATGGTTTATCCTACAAGATCAAGGGAAACCACAGATGCTTCCAGCGCAGATGCAGTCAATGTAAGTAACTTTCTATGCCAATTTATATAATCAAATTATCAAAATATATAGTGTAATATTATTATGTATTTCCATATTGGCCCGGTTACAGGTCCGAGGCCGGATTACTGGCTCGTCACTGTTTAACATAAATTGTAGCCCCTGACTGCTGAGTATAAAGTTTTGCTTTAGCGGTATGACAAATGATTGTATTTGACATTAGAATTATCTCCCCTGCCAAACCTCACTCTAGAGTTATGTTCCTTTTGCAAATAGCGCCGTTTTGAGCAGTTCCTTTTTCAACAAGACAAGTATGTACCATTTGATTGATATTTTGAGCATGCCTAGTCAAGGACGTACAAAGAGCTCTTTATGCGTCCTTGATTGAGTTAATTGCGAGTGTCCTGTCAATTCTAATGAAGTTCATGCTATTCTAAGCGAATCAATGCGTTCCTGTTCGCCATGTTGTAAACACAAACTGAAAGTGTCAAACCCCATGCTAAAGCATTTAGTTAACTAGGGATCTAATATTGCCAATATGTCCTAGTTGCCGAACATATGTGACGACGTCTGACAAAATGTAGGGCAAGATGAGATAATTGTTAGACATATTTCATGGTACATCAGTGTTCCCGAAAAACCTTTTTCAACATCTGTAATTGTGTCAAGCGTTGGACAGATCTATGTCTGACATTTTGTGTGTACATTTTGTGTTCAAATTTGAGACTCATGTAATACCCGTGTAGGTAAAATTCAATTTAACGAGGCAATGTACGCTGTTAGCAGGTTAGACAACTCTATAAAATATAACCCAAGATA